AACCCGGGCCCTCCTCCTCCGTCTCGCGCTCCCGGCCCCCGGCTCTGGCCCTGACCCCGGCCCCCGTCCAAGCCAGCCCTTCCCAGCTCTTCCAGGTGCCCCCGGGCGTGTCCCCTGCCCGCCGGCCAGATGCCACTGGCCCACAGAGCTCAGCCCCCCAAGGGTGGCCGGCCTTAGAGCCACTCCTCCTGCCCCTGCGCAGGCCCCGCGGGCGCCTCGGGTTCCTCATTCCCCGCAGAGCCCGAGTCACTGCGCGGTCAAGGCCGTGAGGGGAGGGCAGGGAGCGCCCGTGTGGGGGCGACAGGGGCGAGATGGGGGTCGGCACGGGTGGAGGCCTCGGGCACATGAAGGATCTTGGACCCGACCCCGGGCCTGGTGGACGGGGGTCATCAGAACGCACCTGGCAGCGTGGGCAGGAGGCCCGGAGGGGCAGAGACTGGGGCCGGGGTCTGAGACAAGGGTTTCGGCCAAGCAAGGCCCCCCTTCTGGGCTTGTGCCCAGCGCTTTCTGCCACCCCAGCAGGGCACACGGCACCTGCCCTCCAGGTCTGCTCAGCTGCAGTAACGGCGTCAGACAACCACACGGCACCGCCGCGCCGCGGAGACTGCCCGGCTGTGACCTCCGGGGCCGCGCCCGGCCAGTCCGCCCAGGCCCCGCGGTGCACGCGACGCCGGCCTCCGCCTCTAGCCCCTTCCCTCCCTCTGTCCGCCGCCCGGCTCCCGTGAGAGCCCCTTGCCCGGGCGCCATGGCGTCACGGTCCCCGGCCGGCCGCTCCCAGGAGCGCTTCCGCGGGGGCGCCGCAGCGGCTCTCCCCGCCGCTAGGCTGGGGTCCCGGGGCCTCTGGAGCGAGCCCAGATCCTCAGGCCTTCACAGGCCGGTCCCGCCCCTCACCACGGCCTGGCTGACCTCCCTGCGTGCTGACCCCCTGACCGCCCCGCCCGCGGGCTCTCCGGCTCCGGCCCACCGCGGCCTTCGCACGGCCTCCTGGCCTGGGGCCGCCGCCCCCCCGGCGGACACCTCCTTGCTCTTCCGTCTGCACCTGCGTGTCCCCGCGGGAGGCCCCGCCGCGCCCCGCCGCCTAGAGGAGGCGCCTCTGGCCCACCCAGGCCGGTTGACAGGGGCACGTTCGAGGGGCGTCTGACCGATCCCCCCACCCTCCTGTGCGCCACGTTTCTGTCGCCCTGATGTCACCTCACCCCCGACACGGCCCCAGGCACGGCGGAGGGAGCGCCAGGTTTGTGGGAAGAATAAACGCTCTCGGCGTCCCTGCACAGGCCTCAGGGCGGGCGGGCTGCTGCGGGCCCGCGGGCGGCCGTTCGGTGGCTGGCTGGAAGGCCTTCGTGTCCGATGCAGCCGGGAGCACAGACCTTTCATGGCCAGAAGGGAAAATGCTCGAAATCCCCGCACCCAGCAGCAGAAATCCTGACGCGGCGAGCCTAATTCTGCCACACAAAGAAAAAAGTAGAGCGGTGCCAGGCTCGAGTCGCCCGGGTGGTCGTGGGCAGCGCCGCCTTCAAAAATAGAACAGACGGAAACGTCCGGATGCTGCGCAGGTGACGGGGAGAGCTTTGTGCGGCTTCCCTTTCATTTCTGCGGAGGACCTTTGTTCCCTCGGCGCGTGGCCTCCCTGAGCGCGGCCCCAGTGGGCGGCGACCGAGAGCTGGGCCGTGGGGACAGCGGTGCAGGCGCCCTCTGGAGTGGCTTGTGGTCACTCGCGGGTCACTGCCGGCCCCCGCGCTGGCCTGTCTGACGTGTGCGCAGGAGACCCCCAGGGCTCCTTCCTCTTCTCATCGACTTCTACCGTAGGGCAGTTTTAGACGAACAGAAAACTCGCCAAGGGCATGAGAGGCTCCAGATGCCCTCCCAGCACCCCCACATGCGACCCGGCTGCGCCACCCGCACCGGGGGTCCCCCCCAGGTGCAGTGCCCTCCCCGGTGGTGCCCTTCTTGAGCTCCCCGTGGGTTTCACGCCCTGGTGGCCGGGAGGGGCACAGGTTGGGCGTTTGTAGAATATTCTTCAAGGTGGCTCGGTGTGTTTCTCATGATTTCTCAGACTGTGGGCTTGGGGAGGAGGCACCGCCCCGCCGCAGAGCCTCCCGGGGTCTGTGCCCACAGCCTGGCGCATCCCCACGGTCCAGCCGGGGCTGCTGGGCATGGCAGGCTCTGCCAGGTTTTCCACCAAAAAGTTGCTGTTTTTCCTTTCCACGCCGGGTTCTTTAGAAGCAAGTCATTAAGCCGCTAGGACCAACCTGCTCGGAGAGAGGGGTGTGGGGTGCCGGCTCCAGCTCCCGCTGGATGCCCACTCGCTGTCTCCTCCCCACTCGAGTCAGCGTGGCCTCTGGGGTGCTCCGCGCCCCCTCCCCCGGTGACCTGTGCCCACGGCACTTCAGTCCGTGGCTCAGACGTTGCGGCTGTGGCCACTGAGGCCCGCGGGGCAGCGTGTCCCCCTCTGCCTGTCCTTCCCTTCCTGGAGCTCCGGCTTCCCTCCTGGTACAGGGCGCTCAGCCATCCCTGCCTTTCCCTGCCCGGGGCTGCTGGTGGCCCAGGAGCTGCGCCTGCAGGGCTGAGGAGCAGGACGCTGACGGGCGCTGAGGCCCAGTGGCGGGAGGCCGGAGAGGAGGAGCCGGTGCGCGGAGCCCCTGGCCTGACCTGCCGGGCTCATGCCCCTCACGCAGCCCGTTGGCCTCTGCAGCCCACACGGATAGCGCCGCGAGTGTCCCAGCGAGCGCTGCCCTCGGGGTCTGGCCTTCCCGGCCTCGGGGCGGGGCGGGGCGGGGCGGGGCGTCCTGCCTGCTGACCCGGCTCAGTATCTACCTGTCTCCGGGGTCCCGGCTCCACGCCACCAGGGGCCTCTGGGGCTGGGCTCCCACCCCGCCTGCGCACACGCGCTCTCGCGGGCAGCAAGCGTCCTTCCCGCTGCCTCCTTTAGACAGCGGCGCCCACCAGGACAGAGTCCCCTCAACTCCCCCCTGCTCCCCCCAGGGTCCTGCCTCCCCGGCCTGGCCCCTCCGTCCCTCTAACTCACATCTCCGCTCCCCTGCGCGCCTGCAGCCAGCGCGGCCTTCTCCCCTCACGAAGGCAGAGCCTTCACCACCACCTGCCTTGACGACGGGCCCAGATGCTGCTGATGGCGGATTTCCCTCAGGAAAGGGCACCATATTGGCTGCGATGGGGGGGAGGCGGAGAGGGGGTGACGCGGCCCCTCTGGGGGGAACTCCCAGATGATGAAATACTGCCAATAGGGACGGGCGGTGCCGAGACAGGCTCCGGGTGTCTGGGAACCCTCAGAGGCTGGCCGGGGCCTGGGCCTGGAGCGGTGGAGGGAGGGGGAGGCCACTCCCCGCTGGTGCAGCCCCACGCGGGGAGGGGAGGGCAGCTCTTCCCGATCCTGTCTGATCTGCCCTTCCCTCCTCGCCCAGGGCCACACCCGGCTCCTCACGGGCACCCAGCCTCATGCGACTGGCAGGCGCACGCCTGTCCCTGCTGCTGTGTGCCCAGTGATTCACCGGCCTCGCCCGTTCGCCTGCTGCATCTTCCCAGGGCGACGTGGGTGTGCCCTCTCCACCCGTGGAGCCAGGAAGCCCCCAGCCAGGCTTGGGCCCAGCAGAGCAGGCCCTCCAGGACCGGCCAGACCCCACCCCACTGCCACTCGGCTCCTATGGAGAGTGTGCAGGACCAGGTTCTGATCAGTTTGGCCTGAACGGGCTCTCCTGTGCTGACAGACCCGTCCGTTTGCGTGTCTGTGGTCTGGTCCGTTCGCTCATTCAGTCATTCAATAAACATTTACGAAGGACCTTCAGGCAGTGACAGGCACAGGAGGCGCAGGGAGGAGCCAAAGGCCCGACCCCAGACCCCAGAGCGTGCACAGATGTCTGGGAGAGCGCCAGCTGTGGTGGGAGAAGGGAGCAGACTCCAGTGCGCTGGGGTGGGAAGCGCTTCCACTAGGAAGTGGCCGAAGGCCAGTAGCGAGCACCTGCGCCAGGGATCTGCCGGGGACCACCCCCCAGGCTGCGAGCAGACCCTGCCCAGGCCTGCTTTGGGGAGGAGGGCTATCCCTGGGGGGGTTTGGGGGGAAGGGCGCTGGACAGCACGGCACACAGGGAAGGGCCTCGGGCACACGCCAGGGACATGGGGAGGGAGCTCCTGGAGCATGAAGCCGCCAGATGGGCCAGTGTCGGGGGCACTGCCAACCGCAGTGCTGAGCGCAGCCCGGAAGGGGTCAGCAGGTGACGCTGTGGCCGTGAGCTGCGGGGAGGGTCCCCGGCTCTGTGCTGGGGGCCGGGGCCTGCGGCCTGGAGTTCTCGGCAGGAAACGTCCCCTGGAAGGCCCAGAGGAGGGCGGCAGGCTGGGTGGCCCCGCGGCAGCAGAGCCCCGGGGGGGAAGAGCCGCTCCCAGTGGCCCACTGTGCCATCCCCACCCTCCTTCCAGCACAAAGCCCGAGCCTCTGGCTGAGAGTCCCAGCCCCTCGCTCGGGGCGCAGGTCCTCCCTGCACGTGGCTTTGGGGCACCAGCCGGCAGAGGAGGGTGAAGGCTGGGGTGTCCCCAGGAGGGGCGCGTCGTGCCCACCCCGCCTCTGCAGCCCCGGCTCCGACCGCGGGCGTGACCTTGTGCGAGTCCCGGCCGGGGACTCAGCGCCGCCCGGGTCCCTCCGGCTGGGGGCGGGGGCGCCCACCCCGGGCAGAGGCCGGCGCGCGCCCCCCGCTTCCAGCGCGCCGAGGCCAGCCGGCCCGGGCGGCGGCGCGCAGCCCCCCGCGCCCCCGCGCCCCGCCGCCCCCCGCGCCCCGCCGCGGCCCGGGGCCCCGGGGTTACGTAAGGAGGGGCGGGGCGCGGGAGCGAGGGCGCCGCCCGGGAGAGCCGCCCAGCCCCGGCCCCCGCCCGCCCGCGCCCGGCGGCGCCCCGCGCACCCGGCATGGAGCGGCGCCGGGGCTGACCGCGCACGGCCCCGCCTGGCCGCGGGGAGCGGCGGCCGAGCGCGCGGACAGCCAGCGAGCCGGGGCCCGTCGGAGCGGCCGCCAGCAGCGCCGGAGATGGGGTGAGCGAGCCGCGCCGCGCCGCGCCGCGCCGCGCGCGCCCGCCCCGGAGCCCCCGCGCCCGGGCGCGCGCCCGCAGCCGCCGCCGGCCCCGCGCCTCCGCCGGGCGCGCGGGCTCCGGGCCGGGTCCCCGCCCGGGCGCCCGCCTCCCTCGCCGCGCCCCGCGCCCCCCGCCCCCCGCGCCCCCCGCGCCCCGCGCCCCCCGCGCCCCCCGCGCCCCGCGCCCCCCGCGCCGAGGTGTCGCCGGCTCCGCGCGGCCGGGGTGGGGATGGAAGTTTCCCTGGGCCGGGGGAGCCCCGGGTAGCCGCGCCCGCCCGCAGCCCGGCCCCGGGAGGATGGACGGCGGCCGGGGGCCCAGGTGAGGCCGCGCGCCGAGCCCTGGACGGGCCGCAGGGACGCTGGGCCGCCTGGCCGGCTCCGCTCTGGCCCGAAGTGCTGGACGGGCCGGCGTGGGCTCCGCGGAGCGGGGGGGGGGGGGGGGGGGCGCCGCGCGGGGTCCGGGGCGCACTCGCGCGCACGTGGTGCTGGTGCGGGGGGAGCCGCGCGGCCCGCCCGGAGCCGGCGCCCGGGCCGCTCTGCCGGCCAGGAGGGTCCCCTCTGCGGCCAGGAGGGTCCCCTCTGCGGCCAGGAGGGTCCCCTCTGCGGGCCAGGAGGGTCCCCTCTGCGGGCCAGGAGGGTCCGCTCTGCCGGCCAGGAGGGTCCGCTCTGCGGGCCAGGAGGGTCCCCTCTGCGGCCAGGAGGGTCCCCTCTGCGGGCCAGGAGGGTCCCCTCTGCCGGCCAGGAGGGTCCCCTCTGCGGGCCAGGAGGGTCCGCTCTGCCGGCCAGGAGGGTCCGCTCTGCGGGCCAGGAGGGTCCACTCTGCGGGCCAGGGGGCGAGGCCCGGCGGGGTCGACTGGGGGCAGTGGGCCGCAGCCTGGCGGGCGTGGGGGCGTCGCAGGCGCCGGGCGAGCGCACCTGAGCTGGCTCTGCGCCCCCTGCGCTGGACATGGCTTCCTTGGGTCCTGGGGGCCAGAGACTTGGGGCACCCCAGCTCCTGCTCTCCCGTGGGGGCTGGTGAGGAGGGGAAGGGGCGGCCCCTCTCCGCGGCCCGGCTGTGCCCCCGTGAGTCTCTGGAGTCGGTCACGGTCACCGGTCCCCGCTCCTTGGGGCGGCGGCCCGTGGAGGGGCCGGAGCCCCGGGGAGCAAAGGCAGCGGGGCCGGCGGGGCGCCCTCCCCTGGAGGCTGCCCCAGCAGCGGTTTCTGTAACAGCCCCAGGGACCCCGAGGCAGAGCCGCTGCTCCCTGAACCTGGGGTCTCGGAGGCCTCGGGTTTCATGCGGAGGAAACACCCCAAACATTTGTGGGAAGACGGGGGTCGCGCGCCCGGGGCTGGCGGTGAAGCTCGGAGCAGGCGCCGGCGGGGCCGTGGGGATGGGGCAGCCCGAGGAAGGGGAAGCGTTTACTCAGGAAAGCTTCGGGGAAACGGCAGAAGATAGTATTTGTTGGGGGGAGGCCGGAGGGGCGGCGGGGCCCGGGCCGCGGGGACCGGGTCTGGGGCGGCTGTGCCGGTGGCCCCGTGGCCGTGTGTCCCGCCGTCCCGCCCTGTGCTGCCCGCAGCGCCCGCCTGTAAGTTGAGAGGGGCCGAGGCTGGGGGTGGAGGAGCCGTTTTGACTGAAAATAGAACCCGTGTCATCCTTTCCCCGCCGAGCCCGGCGGGGGGGAGCGCGGGGCCAGGGACTCTGCCAGGCTGTGCTGCGTGGACGGGGGTGGGGGGCTCCGTGGTGGGGGGCTCCGTGGTGGGGGCTCGCTCCTTCCCGGCCCCGCTCGGGGCACCGGGCACGCCCCGCCTCTGGCCGCTGCGGTGACCGTGGGTGCCTGTGCCCCTGAAAGCGCGTCCTTACTCCTGGGGGTGTGAACCCGGGGGTGGGGCTGCTGGACGGACTTCAGGGCCACCTGCGGCTCGAGGCCGCCCCCTGGGCGCCTGGGCCTTTGCGTCTCACCCACGTCCTCTCCCCTCCATCCCACTTCCTTGCTCCCCTTCATGTGAAAACACCTCAAGGTCCAGGCCCCACCGCCTGCCCCGCCCCCCGGGGAGCCCCCAGACCCTCTCCCGCCTCCCCTCCCTGGAGCGGCTTCCCGCCACCGCGTCCCCGTGTGGTGCCGGCTCCTCTCACCCCCCGCCGGTGCCCCCATGCTCAGCCTGCCCGCGGGTCCGGGGTTCTGCCTCGGGGCTCTCTGGCTGCGTCCACCCCCATCCCAGCTCCCCCGCTAGGCCTGACCCGGCACCTCCTCCTGGGCTCGCCCCAGCTTCCACTGTGGGGCCTCGCGGCATCCCCCCAGGCCGGAGCCCCAGTGACGGGCGTTGGCGTGGCACAGCGGGTCCCATCCCTGTCCTCTTTAAACCCCCCTGCTGGACACGGGGTGGCCCCGGCCCAGCCAGCCGCGCTGCTCCTGGCTGCCCTGGGCGGGGCCGGCTCCCACAGCAGGCCTCGCGCTGTGACCCCCTCCGCCCCGCCCGACACCCGGCTCTCAGGTGTCCGCGTCAGGCCCCCTGCCCAGTCTCCCCAGCTCCCCGAGACTAGCTCCACGCCGCCCCCGCCCTTGCTGACGTGGCCACCCCTCGTCCCTGCAGCCCTGCCGGCCCGCGGCCATTGCCGGGCCGCTGGCTCCGTCTCTGTCTCCCCACCTGTGCCCGCGTGGACGGGCCTCCCCTCTCCGCGGTGCCTCTGGTGCCTCGCACAGGCCGGGCCCCCGCCCGGACGCACTGTGATCCGGCGCTGGCTCGAGGGTGGGCAGTCTTTCCGGACGTGGGCCTGGACATCGTGATAAGCCCAGCTCCTCTGCTCCGGCTTGCTCAAGCGACATAGAAAGGACACCAGACGCGTGTCCTTTGCGCTGAGGGAGCCTCCGGCTGCCATGAGGCCCCGGGTAGAGTCCGGGCCGCTGTGCTGCAGCTGGGCTGTGGCCGGCCCCGCCCGGCCTGTGCTGGGGCTTCTCACCTGCCCGTGGTGTCTGCGGCCAGGCCTGCCCACCCCTGCTCTGGCCACGAGCTTCCCCTTCACCGCCCAGTGTCCAGCTGCCCTGACTCGGCGCCCAGGGTGCCTGCACCGTCCACGCTCCTCTGCCGCTCACGCCTTCCACTCTGACTCCCCTCCGTCCCGGCCTACCCACCCACCCAGCACCCGGCAGGGCTGCTCGTCCTTGGGGTGTGGCCCCTAATATGGGCGCCTCTCAGAGATTCTGCGGCGAATGTGTATCTTTGGTTCTATTGTGGGTTTTCAGACTGACTTTCCGGGGTTCACGGTTCCCCTCCGTCTGTGAGGAGATTGGAGCGCGCTTCGGGGGGCGGTGAGGCGCGGGGTCCTGCCCTCGTGGGTGTGTGCTGTAGGTCGGAGGTGAGTTTATTTTTATTTTTATTATTTTAAAGATTTATTTATGCATACAAGGGCTGGGGAACAGGCCAGAGGTGTGGGGGGTGAGAGGATTCCCAGAGGGGGGAGCAGAACAGGCAGATTGACCAAAGTGCATTGCTGAGGGGAGCGGTGGGGAGCCAGGAGAGGTCTGCTGTGCCATGTGGGCTGCTCCCTGGCCGGCCCGGGATGGCACTTGTGCTGCAGAGGCTGTGAATTGCTTCATAGGTTGCGTCTTAACCCCTTGCGCCACCAGGGAGGCCAAGGACGGAGGGGAGTTTAAACGAGATGTTTAATTCATGCTGCCCTGGGGGCTTCGGGCGAGGACACCAGGAGTGGCCGCTGTCGCTGAGAGCACGCTGGGCTCAGCCGCCTGAGCTGCCTGCCGTGTTTGGAAAGACCAGCAGATCCTGCTCTGACTTCTCAGGCGACGGTTCTCCGGGCGGGAGCAACCAGGCCACCCCAGCACCCTCTGCTTCAGAGCCAGTATCTGGGGGCGTCAGCCCGCCCGCCGCCCCTCGGGCGAGGACTGGTGGCTGTCTGAGGGTCCTGCACGCACTGCGCTTGTGTCAGGCCACTGTGGAGCATCTGGACAGCCCTGCCGGCCTGTTAGGGTTGGGGCGCCTGGGCCAGGGCCACTGGAAGAGACGCCCCTTGCTCTGCAGTGGGTGGGGGCGGGGTAGGCTTTTCTGTTGGAGAAGGACTCACTGGCCACTGTGGCGGGTGCGGCCGCCCACACCAGCGCACGGCAGAGGAGGCGCCTCCAGCGTCGCAGGCCGGCCCTGACCTGGGGGCTGAGGAGTCAGGCTGTGTTCCTTTCCAGCGTGGAAATAACTGGAGCAGACGGCAGCCGGGGAGCACCGGGCAGGAAGTTGCTCTCGGCCTGACCCGCTACCCGCTCCTGCTGCCCCCAGAGCTCCCACGAGCCTGCACTCCCAGCCTGGCGGCGGGCGCCGGGTGTGTTCCCGGGTGTGGAGGCGAGGCTGGCGTCGAATCGTTCCCCAGCGGGGTGCACTGTGCGTGGGAGGCATGTCGGCGGGGAGCTCCACCGCAGGCGAGAAGGAGCCCCCATCTGTTGCCACCGGTGCTGTTCGTCATGTGGGATCACTCCGGTAGGATCTATTCAAATTATGTGTCAATTTAGATAGTTAGAATAAAAATATGCTTGTGGGGACACATTTAGACATTTGTCAGCGACAGGAGAGACTTGAAGAATACACACTGCCGTTCACAAGCGAGCTGGGTGTCTGGCATCTCTCCTCCGAGGAACTAGGCGCTGCCCCCCCGCAGAGATGCCTGCCTGCGAGGCCCTGGAGAAGCCTGGCCTGGCCAGCCTTTGTCCTCCCCTAGCCCCGGGGAGTCTGTGTGGGTTCCGGGGGGCCGTCCAGCGGGGCCAATTAGTGAGGAAAAGCCCAGACCCCGCTGCCTGAGCACTGCGTCCCTCTGGATCGCTAATTGGGAAAGCTTTTAATTGGAGCGCTTCAGTAAGAAGGGAGGGGAGTTACTTTGGCTTTGTTGCCCTGGGGGAGCCGCCTGGCACAGGAGCCCCTGGGGAGGGGAACGGAGCCAGTTCCAGGAGAAGGGGCCCCGGTGGGGGGCATCCAGCCACTGCCC